TGACAGTGAGGTTTGGGGTGGGGGTGGAGGGGAGGGGAGGTTTGAAAAGGGGGGCTAAGGGGGGGAAGGGGGAGAGGGAGGGGTTGGGGGGGGCGGGGGTTGTGGAATAATTGGAACTTCAATGCCCACAATCCCCACAGACCTCCACACCTCCCTCTCCATCGCCTGCAGCCAGTCAATAGCCAACCGCGCTCTGATTGGGCCGTTTCGCTCCGTGACGTCAACGCCCAACGTGGGACGCCTTGAGTGCTGGTTGGCTGCAACGCGCGGGTCGCTACTGCCAATCGGAGAGGAGATAGAGACCGTGCAGCTTTTAAGGTGGAACGGGGGAGATGAGAGCTGTGTAGCAGAAATGTGATGAAGCTTTTCTCTGAGGCGATTTACTGTGTTAATATTTGATGAACGTTCACAATTCCGTCATTTTCTTAAGAAAGAAAGAAAGGAGAGAAATAGATTGGGTTGGAAAATCCACCCGACGAGTTGTGTTCAGCTCTTCGCCCACAGCAGTTTGAATACCGCGTTCAAAAGTTTGGAATCATAATTCTAAAGTCTGTTTTCGGTGAAATGTTGAAGAAATGTCGCAGGTAAATGAGTGAAATGGTTCTTTTACGATGCTATTCCTATAAAACCTAACATATTTCACATATTTAGTAGGAAGTTGTGGTAAAAAAGACATTTTAGTCGTGTCCAGAGTGATAAACAGAGCTACATCATTCCGTATGACTGAGAAAGCTGTGGAACATGGAGAAGGAGGCTGATATCTTAAGATTAAATGACTAAATGAGTAATTACTGTAGCTATATTATCATTTAATACCTTTTTGGTGCCCATAAAACATGAAATATTGAATAAAACATCTTAAAATACTAGTGTTTAGCTAAAAATATTTCAGTCTACACTGGGTAAGGTATTACTGAATACAGTAGCAGCAATTCTTAACATGTCACGTGATTCCAAACCCTTCTGTACAGTTACACATACATTAACATATACAACTAATGGTTTGAGTACTAAAGATGGGAAAAATATATGTGTGATGATCACATACTGTGATATTGCTATTCAGGTTTAGCTATATTTTTAGCAGTACATTTGAAAGCCTCATAAAAACAACTGTAGTAATCCCATAAGAAACTTATAATACTGTATAAAACTTCTATAACTGTCTATAACACTTTCTTCTCTTATAACCCTGTAGTAGCATCTTAAAGTAATCTATAATACTTCTAGTAATTGAATTTGCTGTGAGATTCTTACAGGAGTCCTGTAGGAATTCCAGTAGTATTACTGTGTTGATGTTTTTGATAGGAGAGATAATGAGAATTGTATCTGCGATATAATTCCCATAAAATATTATAATACCCATAAAAAAATGTTTATTTCATGCACTTTATGTTTAGATTTCAGGGCTTCAATCTTTGTCATTTACTGCAGGTTTCGGACTGTTTTGAAAGAGCAGTTTAAAATCCATAAAAATGAAAATTCTGGAAATGTGCTTTAGTGCTTTAGTCTCATTTATTAGTTATTAACTTTATTAATACTAACTGAAATATCATCTGATTATAGATTTAAAAAATATCATGATATTGAATTGTCGCAGCATCGTCCAGCCCTACTTATAGACGTTTACCGCAGCTCACATTCTCTGTTCTTTCTGTTTTTCCCACAGTAAGATGTGAAGATGCGAGGTGTCTTCAGATGTAAACTAGGCCACAGAAGCTCTGGAGATGGCAGACTTAAGGTGGGGTGAGAGGAGGTGAGTGAAAAAGTGGTGATATTGGGATATTTTGAGTCGCCCTTTCTGTTGAGCTTTACTAGGTCAGCAGTGAGACAGAAATGGATTATCAGGATTAATTTGGCCTTTCACCATTGTCTTTTATTTATCTTGTGTCTTTTGCCAGTTGAGTCACGTCGAGAAATACGCCTGCAGTCTCGTGAGGCCAGACACTCATTTAGTAATTACTAGATCATCTGCTGAACAGGATTCACATGGTTTCTATCACTTTATTCAATGTTTCTTTATTTATTAACAGCAGCGTAAAGAGCTTTTGTCTTAGGAATGCTGTAAAAGATTGATAGGCTTTAAGAATGTCAACAGATGAGACTCGACTGTGTTCCTTGTTTCCTTCGCTGGCATTCACAGCCTTGTTCGGAATAAATCATTTGTCAACGTTTCTGCCTTTTTCTCCTGCTGCTGTTTAGGAAGTCCAGTGGTTCTCAATGCCCGACTTGGGACTGAATGCGCTGTATATGTTTTCGTGAGCAAACACACCTGGGTTTGGTCTTAAAAGGCCCAGGACTAGGACTGTGCACCACTTTGGGACCCCTTTGAAACTGAGTCCACTTTGAAACGTACGTAGTGATAAAAGGCTGCCCATTAACCCCTTGAGACCTGGGCTGTGTTCAGAATGGTTCACTGTGCATTACATAGTGTTTGACTTGAGAATGACCACTGGATGAATGAGAATTCAAACATTACAAATAGACGCAAAGTATAGTGTGATTTTGAGCGGATTTGAATGAAGCACTAGGTTTATTATTATATTTCATTAATTTTAAGACTTATTATTCAGTAACTGTTGTGAATTATTTGGTAACTATTATGAAATGCATAAATAAGGCATGTAGTTAAAAAAAACAAAAACATTATGTAAAAAAACGGAAAAATAGTGTAAATGGTCTAGTGTGCACTCCTCGGCCTCTTTTTACGTCTCTCCTTTGTCTTTTGTGAAAACTACGATCACTGATCGAAACTAATCATCCTAGTGTTTCCTGTCACAGTACAGTGGGTATGGAAGGGGGCGGGGCTTAAACTATGAAAGCACCCATGCTCAAATCATTAGACTTTTTCATCTAAAGTCACTCGAAGAGTTGTATCTTTTATTATATTTGGCTTGTCTTGTTTAAAAGTGGTGTGGAAGGCTTTGAAAAAGCCAATCAAAATAAAAAAAAAAATCAAGATATAAAAAATTGAACCGGAAGCAAAAATCATATTAAACCTGAAAACATGTATACTGTTCCATAACTAGCAGTTATGAAAGAGGAATTGAAGTGTGGACCCGCACACGAGGCTTAAGAGTTTAAGGATTAAGGCAGACACTGGGCCATCTCATATAGGTTTAACTCTGTTTCCTTTGACCAGGTGACCCCCGACAGGAAGCGGACAGAAGTCCTGGTGTTTTTGGGGGATCCTTCCGGAATAGCTCTCCCTTTCCTCCGCTCAGGGTGGCTGCCTGAACGCAGCGTCGGCGTCAGCGTCGGTAATTATCGTGCTCCATCGGCGAGAGGCACAGGGAGGCTTGTGTGAATAATTACCTGCCTAATCCTCACAATTAGATAATGCTGATTAGGGCAATCCCTGACCTGGGAGGGATCGCGGATGGCGGGATGACTGGCGGGAAAATACCTCGGGGAGAGATGAGAAGGAGAGCGAGAGGAAAACAGAGAATAATGGCAGGAGTCAGGCTTGCGTGAACAGCGGAGATAGAGTGGCTCAGTTACAGAGGATAAAAGAGAGAGAGAAAGAGTGAAAGAGCATGTTTTCTAGCTTCTGTGCGTCTGCAGTCTGATTAATTGAGAAGTGGACGCAGGTGGACGGTGAGTTTGTGAGTCCGTGGCTGGGCTGGTTACGGATGAGTCGAGGCCGTCAGTGTTGCAATCATGACCGGAGTCATTAAGATAAAACTGGCCTGCTTATTTTTCAAAGGCCAAATAAACCTTAATCTATCACAGGCAGGACCGGAGAGCGAGAGGACGGATACACAGACTGCTCTCGCAGAATTGCTCGCAAATTGAATCATTTCTCATCTCATCTCTCTCTCTTTCTTCTCTTTTTTTTCTCTCTCTATTCTTTCTCTGTGCCACCATCTCTCTCTCTCTTTGACTGTCACCGTTTCTCTCTCTATAGTCTCTCTCTGTCTCTCTTTTCTCTCTATGTCTCTCTGTCCATCTATATATGCCTGTCTTTCATCTCTTTCTCTCTCTCTCGCTCTGTCTCTGTTTCTCTATCCTCTCTTTCTCTTTAACTGTATAGGTTGCTTTAAATAGCTTTTTATCATGCCTTATATTTCCTTCTATTCTTTCCTTTTTCTCTCTCAGTCTGTATTCTTTCTCTCTCTCTTTTCTCTCTATGTCTCTCGCTCTGTCTCTATCCCCGTCTCTCTCTTTTCTCTCGCTCTTTCTATATCTGCCTCTCTTTCTTTCTGCATGCCTCTCCCCATGCCTGTCACTCTCTTTTTCTCTTTCTTTCTCTCTCTTTGCCCTTTCTCTCTTTTTCCCTCTCTTTTCTCTCTTCCTCCATCTCTGTGTTCTTCTCTCTCTCTCCCTCTCTCTATATGTCTCTCTCCCTCTCTCTCTTTATGTCTCTCTCCCCTCTGTTTCTCCAACTGTATAGATTTTTTAAAATAGCTATTTATCATTCCATAAATCTTTTCTTTCTCTCTGCCTATCCCCCCCTCTCTCTCTCTCTGTCTCCCTCTCTCCTCTTTTTCATTAACCATATAGATTCCTTTAAATAGCGATTTGTTATCGTTCCATATATCTCTCTCCATATCTTTCTCTCTCTCTCTCTCCCCTCTTTTTCTTCCTTTAAATGGCGATTTGTTATCTTTCCATATATCTCTCTGCTTATCTTCTCTCTCTCTCTCTCTCGTCCCCTTTAAAATCTGTTTTAAATTTGTTTGTTTATTGCTGTTAATGTGTAAATTGCTTTAAATAGCTGATATTATTCCATATATCATGCACATGTATTGGTCAGTCTCTGTTTCTCTCCCTCACTCCCTCTCTCTCTCACTCACTCACTCTCTCTCTCCCCCGCTCTGTATCTCTGCTGCGCCACCTTAAGAGCAGCTCGAGCAGGCTGTCGTGTTTGTGTTGAAGCCAACAGGCACAATATATTACAGTCTAGGGCTCGCTGCTGAAAAGCCTGCTGGATCTTCCAGTGACCTGCTGTTCTTTCCTGCTTTCCTGGTTTTTTTTTTCTTCTCCGTCTCCTCCTCCTCCTCCTCCTCTCTCTCTCTCTCTCTCTCTCTCTCTCTTCTCCAGATTTAGATTAAAAACAAAGCTCTCTCTCAACCTCTTTTTTTCCCTCTCTCTCTCTCTCTCTCTCTCTCTCTCTCTCTCTCTCTCACTCTCTCTCCCCTCTTCTTCTTCTTTCGGAGTCTGGCTTTGGGGAGAAAAAAAGAGAAAAGAAAGCCTTTTAGTTTCGCCCCTGTCTCTGTGCGTTGCAGGAGGAAGGAGGTTTTTGCTGGCCGTTCCGGATGGAGGTGTGTGTTTGTTTTCGCGGCTCGTTGGCTGCTTTTTGAACAAGGACGAGGCAGGGACGGCTGGATGTGATTCTTCGGACCTCACACTGCTTCAGTTACACTCATCCGAGAGAGGCAGAGAGGGAGAGAGAGGTGAGAAAAACTGAGACTGTGGCTCCCCAAAGGAGAAAAAGGGGAAATCCAGTGAGAAGTGGAAGTATAAGACCTGTTTTCTTGATATTTTCTGGACGTTTTCATTGGATGCTCTGAGTGACCGTGAAGCAGAAGCTCCAGGCTCTGGAGCTTTGAGGGTTCTGGGCTCTGTCCGGTCCAGGACAGAACCTCCTTTGAGGTTTGGAGGCCAGAGGGAGTTCACTGACCATTAAAACCCTCCAACCAGTGTGTCTTCTTCTCCACTGACCATGTACCCACAGGGCAGACACCCGGTAAGTACAGTGCACTTTCAGTCGCCTCATACAGTTCAAAAATCATTCTGTCAGCTGAACCTAACGAACGTACAGTTCCACTTTATTTGGATTGTCCAATATAAATGATCTACAGACGCTCACATTATGAAGATCTGGTGAAAGTTATTGCCATCAGGGTTCTGAGCACCATTGGATTTATGGTTTGGCTTAGGTTTACTGTTAGATTGAGTGTTAGATTTAGATTTAGGTCAATTAATTAGCTATTTTTTTGAACTTCAGTAAAAGTCATGGTCCACATTGAACCATACAAATAGTTACCAAATACGCTTATTGTTGTAACAAGCGGTTTAACTGGTTTCATAAAGTCTCACTGAGTCAAATCAAGTCTCACTGAAACCCCTCAGGGTTCTTTGTGTGTCCACATCCTAAGGCTTGTTATTCGGCAGTAAATTAGGGCTCTTTTGCAGAACCCTCGGTGCCGTAAAAGAGCCATAATAACTCAGTTATTCTTTATTGTTATCTATGTACACTAATAAATAAACAGTTCATCATTAATAAGCTCAGAACCATTACAAATGAACTTCAGAAAGGTTCTTCACGTTCACATGTTTAATTTATAGATATCTCTGAAGAACGTTTTAATGCATGCTTCTGGTTCTTGAGAGAACCAGGTTTGGAAATAAAATGTGAGAATGTGAAGAACCTTTCTAAATTTCACATATAAAAGGTTCTGAACCAATTAACAATAAGCAAAGAACTATTTATTTATTTGTATAAATAGGTAACAATAAGGAATAACTGAGTTATTATGAAGTTATTAGGGTGTGAGGAAGCCGAGTCTGTGAAGGTTTAAGGGGTTAATCGAATGTGAAATGTAAATCAAACGTAGCAAATACAAAACTCATTACGTAACTAACTACAAAATAATTGTTTAATTACATATTTACAATTAAATATAAGCTTCCCGGACATTGATTACACCTAATCTTGGGTTAAATTTCAACGTCAGTGAAGAATCAACCATTGGAAATTCTTTCTAGTCTAGGCTTAGTCTTAATCTGTGTGGGAAACTGGCTGTAGGTGCCTAAAGGGTTAACGGTCATTTGCTTATTCATCAAAGAATTGAAGATGATGAACTAATGCAGTATTTCTCATCTCACTATTCTACTTTATTTATTACATTCTGTCTCTCACTCTCTCTCTTTTATTCTCTCTTTATCTCTCTCGCCCTCTCTTTTACTCAAGCTGCACACACACCTCTTTGTATCGCTGAGAGCGAGCTGTAAGAGGAGGGACGAGACACATGAAACAATTGGTGAGAGAGAGAGAGAGACAGAAAGAGAGAGAGAGAGAGAGAAGGAGAAAGAGAGAGATGTCTCTCTTCAGAGGCTTTCAATCACACAGACGCGCTCGCACGGAGACACGTCCGCACACACAGCCCTGTCAGCTGCACCCAGGTGTTCTCAAGAGCCAGTTTATTTTAAGTTGTGTGGGCGGAATAGCACTCTGTGTGTGTGTGTGTGTGTGTGTTTTACTTCATACAGAAACCTTCTGCTGATGTTGTTCGTGGAGTGGAGTTCTTGGAAAGGAGGGACGCTGGTCGCAGCAGGCTGACTTGTTATCAGTTGTGTGTTGAAAGCGTTTGGGTTAGTGGTGTGTTTGATGTGTTTCTGCCAGAGACCACAGAGGATCCATAATTCAGTCTCGCTGGGGCTGAGTGTGCCACAGCTAGCCGCTGCAGCCAGAGTAGCCAGATGAGCCAGGGTCGATGTGGAACAGCTAGACCAGTCTCGGTCAATGCCTGCACGAAATATCACACTTAACCCTCCAAAATCACCATTGAGAGCAAAATCGTGCTGTAATATGATATTATTTAGGCTGCTTTTCGCTCACAGCTCAGCATTCATTGGAAAGTGCAGGTTCTAAACTTTCAAATCGTACCACATTTGTGTTTGCAGGTAGAAGAGGAGATTTTTCATTACAGTTTGAATTTGATGAAAAGGTTATTTTTTAATGCAGAAGGAAAAACCATCTATTACTAAACCAGTCTCGCTCATTGCCTGCATGAAATATTATATTTTACCCTCCAAAATCACTTTTGAGAACAAAGTCATGCTGTAATATGTTATTATTTAGGCTACTTTTCGCTCACAGCTCAACATTCAGTGAAAAGTGCAGGTTCAAAACTTTAAAATCATACCACATTTGTGTTTGCAGGGAGAAGAGATTTTTTATTACAGTTATTGTTACTGCAGAAAGAAAAATATCTATTACTTTTTACAAGTTCAAACTTGAACCAGAATGTAAATGTAGCATGTTAGTTAATAGTTATAGTTAATTACAGAATTAATTATCAAATGAATTGAAACAGTATAACAGGACCTGATTATTTGATTAAAATTTTCTCAATTCTCAGTTAATTGGCTGAATAATTCGTTTGAATAATGAACAGAGTATCTGCAGGTCATTACGAAGCACTCTGAACCCTCTTCACAAGGGAGAATATTAGCACTTAGGCATCACTGAAAGGGAGGAAACCCACACCAGCAGGATCTTGTGAACATGCATGTTTGTAGTTGCAAATTTAATGTTTCTGAAGCGAAATTGAATGTATGTATGTGATGTAAGGAAAGGGCACACATATCTGCATGTTTTCATCTGTTCATGTTGCAACTTTTTCAGTAAAGAATTTTGGAATGAAAGATCCTGCACAATATATTACTGTTCAGTTAAGCCTGTTTTATTGCTTAGTGACAGCCCTAATATCTAATATCACGATAGCAATCATAACTCAAGACTGCTAAGGGTTAACATTGCCATACAAGCTGCTTATTAGTGATTCAAAACTGACCATTGAGAATATCTCAGCAGAAACAGTCACATGGGGTCACTGAGAGAGAGACAGAGAGAGAGAGAGCTTTTTCAAGATCTCTCCAAGATGAATAACCTGCAGCAAGTTTTCCTTTTTGCTGGGAAAGTTGTGTGTGTGGGAGAGAGAGAGAGAGAGAGTCTTTTATGTCTGGCCCGAACTTCCTCTTCTGTTTTCAAGCCTTGATATTATTGAACTTAGTTAAAAACGTGTAGCATTTGTTTGTGCCGCAGTTTTCATTCCTGCTGAGTTGCCAAATGTTGATGAATCAATCAGAGAGCAGTAAATCCTTCAGGAACTCTGCATGGCTGTTTCTCCGTCATCACTGTCAGGTCTGTTCCTAGAAATGCACAAGTGCTGCTGCTTGTGAACTCCAGTTTTTACGTCGGCCATTTCAAGCTGTTCTTTTTAATGTTCAGATGCTCCACATGGAGATGTGATGTATCAGTGTGAGGGCAGCGGTGATGTTGCAGTCTCTGCAGTGTGAACCCCCTGTGTGTTATGTTAATGTGTGTGTGCATATGCGTGTGTGTGTGTGTGTCATGTGAGATGATCAAAATCAGCTTTGCGAGCCGAACAGCATCAGCAGGAACGACGTTCAAAATTTAATATACTGGACTTGTCGATGGTGATATGAAGTGGACAGTGCCACATTATATACCCCACTTTATACCCACGATACAGTCCTACGCACCAGTTCGAACCCTCCCAGTTAAATTGTCATGTTTCGTTGATTTTCTAATTGAAAATACATCCTCTGCATGGAACAAACTTTTGTGCGCAATTTCTGTTGGTTATTTCTGTTCTAGTTTATATTGGAAAAAAACATAAAATACAATGTGCCATAACTTTTGCACAGGCCACATCTGTTTTTTTTTTTGTTAAATTTTGCAAATAAACAGTAATTGTGTATTAAACTGTGCAGTACTGTGTTCTCTGTAGAGGATGTGTAACTTATTTTCACTTAGAAAATCAACAAAACATGTCATTTGACCAGAAGTGTTCAAACTCTTGCATGTGAAATTGAACAACAGCATGGATCATAAAACTACATGGATCATTAAACTATGATAGATTTAGACCATTTATAGAGAGCCTATAAACAGTAGTAGTCAGTGTATAATAACTACATAAACCCACATCAAACCATTTTGGCATTATCTTATTGAATTAATTCATTTTTTATTAATTGCTTGATTTTGTCGACTCGATTTCTGCTTCTCATTAACACCTTAATGTTCAGAGAACTGTCAGCAGGTCCAGGCATCCATTACTCACTCCTGCTTAATTATAGCACAGTAAATTTGCTTTGTTTCCCATGAAGGTACAGTGTAAAATATTCAAAATGTTTGTGTGATACTAGAATTGAATGCCACATTAAACATCTAGCAAAATGTTCATTAAAAAAATCAGGAATATAATAAAACAAAGCTTAAAACCTCTGATCTCGGAACTGTCTAGCCATTGTCTCAATCTATCAGCAGTTAGTCTCAAGTATATCTGTACATCCTTAAAAAAGATGGTTCTTCAAGGGTTCTTTAGTAAAGAAAATGGTTCTGTATAGGACTATGAACACTCAAAGAACCCTCTACATGATTAAAGTGTTCTTTGCATGGTGAAAGTGTTCTTCAGATTGATGGGGAATGTGCTGAAGATGGTTCTGTATAGAACCTTTTGGAAAAGAACGCTGTGCACCAAAAAGGGTTCTTTGCACCAAAAAGGGTTCTTCTACTGTTATGATGTCAAGCTTGTTAAAATAGCTGAACCCTTTTTGGTGCAAAGAACCCCTTAATCATGCAAAGGGTTCTTTGAGTGTTCATGATTCTATATAGAACCGTTTTCTTTACTAAAGAACCCTGAAAGACAAATCTTTTAAATGTGTGTGATGTGTTTTATTAGTGACCACGAACACAGTGTTCACCAAAAAATAAAACATTTAAAAAGTAGAACTGTATGAAAACAGGATTTATAAGCTAGTTAGGTCAAAGCTAGTTAGGTACTCGGTATCAGCCGATACTCAAGGATCAGGTATCGGTATCGGAAGGGAAAAAGTGGTATTGGTGTCTCTAATTGTGATGTTACGTTTTTGCCATTTCGCCCACCCGTACTGCTGATGTCTGATCACTGGTGCAGTGGTGTAACGGAGCAG